GAACTCGAGTTGATGGCAAAGAATTCTTCCGTCAAGTCAGGTGAGTTTTCACTGGGAAAAAACTTGAATCGTTGCACAATTAATAAAATCTGCAGCATTGAATTACATCATAATCAATACCCATGCAAATTTAGTTTTATAAATCTGGGTAGCGTTCTATCTTCAAATGCAATTTCTTCTTTTGTTGATCAGGACCCGCCTGTCTTACGAGCAGTTTGGTGCTTTTTTGGCAAACGTTAAGGAATTGAACTCCCACAAGCAAACGAAAGAGGTAAATTTCTCAACCACCCTCTCCATCTGTTGTTAACAACTTCACTTGATATCAGTTTTCTTCCATGACTTTCTGTAAAATCTCAGGAGACCCTAAGGAAGGCAGAGGAAATTTTTGGTCCAGATAACAAGGATCTTTACACGATATTCGAGGGATTGATCACTCGCAATGTTCACTGAATATATTTCGCTATAACTGTATCCAAAGCCTGCAAGCACTGGTTTTACAACTTTGCACTCTCGTTGTAAATTATTTTTTTCAAGTGGAGACTTTTCTTCGGTACTCTTCAATTTGATATTCTTATGGTGTCGAAACAGTTGAGTAAAATAAACTTACGAATGGCCTGTCCACAATGAATTGTACAAAGTGTACAATAAAATTATACCAGGAAGGAGAGTTCTTTTCTTCTTCTTTTTTGCCGCAAATGTCGAAGAAGATCTTGTGTGTATGTTCTTCTGGTTGCTTGCATTCCATCTCTTTATCGATAACAGATTCAGCAGCAGCTCCGTCACTATTGAACTTTGTTGCAATATCTGGTCCGCATGCATGATTCCTCTCATCATGAAGGAGCATGATCAGGTAGGCCTATTCATTTTATTTTTGAATTGCCATGATCTTCCCTCCGTGGAAAATGGTGGTTATGGAGTACAGTAGAGAAACATCACGTGCATGGAAATTTTAGTGTGTTTGATATTATAATAGCTTTTATAATTATTGTTTTAAAAAAATTATTTTATAAATAATATTTTTGGTTGAGGTTGGTTTTGTATTTATATATGTTTAATTAAAACTATGATTAAAATTAAATTTGAATAAAAAGTAGTTTAATGTGTTTCATTAAATATGTTTTTTAAATTGAAGTTATAAGATAATTAAAAAGATGTATATTAATATTAATGATTTTTAATTTAAATATTATAAATCTAACTATCATTATTATATAATTAGATAAATAATATTTTTTATTATTTTATTAACTTATTTATAATTTCATTTATTATTTTATTAACTTATTTACAATTTCATCATATATAAAATTCATCTGATAAGGATTATAATTTTTATAATTTTTGGATTGTGTAATAAAATTAGGTGAAATATTATCAAAAATAAAATTAAAATTGTGATTAAATTTTATAAATGCTATGTTATTATATGATATTTTTTAAATTTATATAGTGTTATTAGATAATATTAAACACTAGTTTTTTAAGTAAAATATAATTAAAAAAATAATTTATTTTTATTTGGTTGAACACGGTTAATAAACAATGAATCGTGGCACTGTTTACACGAACAGTAATCAAATAAATTTAATTTATCTAGCAGACATGAGAAGAAGCTCTCTCCGTGGGAACGGTGATTTCATCCCAAAACACATGTATCCCACACAAACAGTCAAATACTTTTTAGTGTTACCAAACATAATGTTCATGTTCATGTGGTTTGTTTTAAAAATTATAGCTCCCGCATAAACAAACGTTTTCTTAGTGTAGTTACGACACGTAATAAGAAGATAGATTATAACTGAACCATCTAGGTGGTGGCCAAATGGTGAAAACTTGGGACTAAGGGGTTTGCTTCCACTGTGGTTTCAAGTTCGAGTCCTTGGTTGCTCATATGATGGCCACTAGAGGCTTACATGGTCGTTAACTTCAGGGCCCGTGAGATTAGTCGTGGTGCGCGCAAGCTGGTCCGGACACCCACGTTAATCTAAAA